AACACCGTTTCAGGGGCTTTTTTTTCGCACTTTTCGGCGACTACCCTCGGCAAAAACACTATTTGCGGGATTTGTAGCGCACGTTTCGCTGTAATATTTTAGAACAAGGAAGTTGAAGGTCTGAAGATTACGAAAAAAAATAAATCAGAAAATCGCATATTTTGACCAAAATCGGCACTTTACTTGCCGCGCCCCCCCTTAAAATGCACTTTCAAGTAACAACCTGTTGAAAATACCAAGCAAAACAGGCAAAGTTCATTCAACCTAAATATTATGCCAAAATCCAGAAAAGTTATTTTACACGAGTCCTTCATACGACTGAGAAGTGTCATTATTGCTGTTAGTACAATCATAATCACAAATGGTGGGTACTACACAAAATGTTTTATGTAGGAAAAAAAATCTTGGAAAGTGCAATCTTTGGTGTCTCTATGAAGAACAAAAAAAGCGCAACACAAGTGCAATAAAACTGTTGACACTGCAAAGTCACCCGCAGAGTACAGGCATCATACAAGTGCTCAATTACTAGGGTTGCAGTGCAATGTGCATCATCTGTGAGGTCCATTCAGATGAGAACACTTCATGCAACCGTGAAAAAAAAAAATTGGCCCTCTAAACCTGGCACCAAATGTGATAATGAACACGATATCACGGTAGCCTCTAAATAATTCAAAATACAGGGAACCCCAAAAATTTGTATGACCAGCACTTCTCACACACATGACAGGGCAATACCAACTCAGGGCCGTAGCAATGTGATACACAGCTGTGAATGATTGCCAGTAAAGGTTGTAAATGTATGCAAGCATACCCGAACTTTTAATCATACGGCACATGTACGCTGCCCTGGCTATATAATTAACCCTTTCAGATGCCAACTATTAAAAAATGTCTAAATATATGAAATAACTACAACATTACTTCAAGGTACACTATATTATGTAGCAACAAAAATAATGAGATTATTATTGAATCTAAGTGTGTCATAGTAACTCATTCTAATTAGGTTGGAATAAATATATCTTTATCCTGAAGTCGTCGATGCTTACTTTTGACATAAAGAGAACCTAATCTCAAGCTAGAAATAAAGTTCAAATTTATTTTTGGTTATTTCAATTGTGAGCAAGGAAAATTTCTGCTTTTCACATTGCTTACAGGAAGCGGCACATCGCACGACTCGTCCAACGTGGTACTGTCTTCAGAAAAGGAAAAGTGATCATACGTATCAGTACACTGCAAAATGAGGCTAAATGAAGACAAATTATTCATGCAGGAGGATCAACTCATATAATGTACGATATATCTTGCTGTTTCTTAGCCTCTACTTGATGCAAATAACGGAAAAGAGTGGTGTACACAAGTGTGTACATAGCATCTGAAAGGGTTACGAGAAAGACAGTGCTGCATTACATGACAGCTGTAACTTCTTCCTCATTTCAGTATGCTTTTCCGCGTGACACCCAGCAGGGGTGCAACAGCCAAATATGATTTGGAGCAATTTGCAAAGCAGGAAACTTGCTTCATAATCAAGAAAATCCAAATTTGGAGCAGGTTATGGGGAAAAACCTGCGTTCTTCGATTCTGAATCGCAAATTTCGAACACGATAATGAAAAAAAGTCAACTTATAGAACAGAAAACAAAATGATGGGCAAATCATTCAAGATCAGCTAACTCATGCACAGCACATATAAGCTGTGCTGCTTGGGGTGGTTCAACACAAAGTCTACATCACCGTTTACAGTGCTTGTCAAATCATATGACAGGCCCTGTAAATAATGTGAACCTGCCTAAGAACATTATGGCTTTATGTTTTCATTTCTTGATTCTGAGGGCCCCATAAACATGATAGCTCTGAATGATTGCCAGTAACTTTCTCTATGTCGCCGATCATACCAATACTCATAGTTACACCTCATGTGCATTCACAAACAAGCAATTAAAGAACAAAATTTGCCATGTCCCATGAATGCATAGTACTAGCCCTCTCCCAAACTTAGTAAGCTTTTCCACAAAATACCGGTGTACTGCAGCAAAAAATGACCTGCAGTGCTCTGCACATAGGAGAATGATTTTCTTAAATATAACAAGCGACAGTGACAAGGGAGGTAGTACACACAGAGTTTTGTGTGTGTGTGTGTGTGTGTGTGTGTGTGTGTATGCGTGTGTGTGTGTGTGTATGCGTGTGTACGCGCACGCTTGTCCCCTGTGTCAGTTTTTATTGCACCTTCTCATCATGATCAGCGCACAAAAAGACAAGAAAATGAGACCAGCGCATGTGTGCAATTGCTTAATTGTATGATAATAAAAGCAAGAGACGTGTGTAAGCCAGCCTTCAATCACTGTTACAGCTTGGTGGAGGTTGTCAAGATTTTTTATGCCTTCGTGCTTGCATATGACATGTTTCTTCGATTAAACTTTCAGTTGTTAGACAGCACTTGCCTCGTGCACCTTCTTGTGTCTGTGCTTTTTTTTGTGCGCTGATCGTGATGAGTATGTCCCAACTAGCCCAACTTGCTTGTTACACTTCCAAATACACACTAAACCAACCCGCCTAGTCTACCATTCTTGCCACAACAGAATAAAGACAGGAAATTCTAGAACTGCCGTCCTCTCCTCTTTCCTTCCACAATGGGGCGAAGAGTATTGATGGATTTATGGCCACGCCTGTATAACTGGGAGGAATGCTCCGAATTCATTAGTACCCCGGGAACACTGGCAGAGCTTGATGACAAGCAACTTGCCACATTTCCACTGAATACAATAGCAGCACGTTGTCAACACTTCAAGCGCAGCTTTCTCTTCAATTTTCAAGTGGATAATCATTACAACCAGCAAAACAAAAAAAAAAACTTTTACGCTACCAACAGAAAACACATTGCACTGCAGCAAAAGTGACTTGAGAAGTCTTCAGCACGTGATGGACAAAGGTCAGACAACCTCAGTTTTTGTTTCTTCCTCAATTACCATGAGAGTGTTGGTGCATTCAGTTTAGCTATTTTGCTTTGTGGCAAGCACTCTGCTTTACTTGCAGCTGCTAGTGATAGGAACTTCATTGTTCAGTTAAATACAACAAAGGTCGATATTTTTTGGCATGAACGACCAAAAAAATTGGGGCACCTGAGCACTAGTGGTGCGAATGCCGAAGAAAGAGTGGAGCTGATGGCCTTCACTTCCTCCCTTCTCTTCTCCTTGCTATACTGCACTACAGAAGAGTATACACTATGCTTTTATTTTCCTACCCCTCCTCGTTTCTTTCTCCCACCCTCGCACCACACCTCCTCATGCTCCCTTCGATTTCCCACCCCCTTGAAAAACATGTCTATGTTATGCCTTACCCTCTGCTTTCCTCCTCACATTAGCTTCTTTTTCCCAACTCGCTGTTATACTATACTATACATGGCTATGCTATGCTTTCTCAATTTTTCTCTTTTTCTCCACAGTATTTTTAATCTGTTTCTGTTTGTTTCCCTCTCTGTTTCCTTTATCGCTTTCTTCCTTCCTCTCTATATTTTTCTTGTCATCTCAACCAAAGCAGCACATTCATAAGGCTCCCATAAAGGCTTATTCTACTAACATGACTGGATAGCGTAGTGGTTATGGTGCTCCACTTCAGATCACGGGTATGAGGGTTCGAATCCTGCCTAGCGAACAATTATGTTGTTTCTTTTTCCAAAAATTTTACCACTCTTTGTACTCATTCACTTGCCCATCAGTGTTACTGCATCCCATGCCAGACAAATCAACACACAAGTTCAGGGAGAGGTGCAGAAGATAAAGAGTACAAGGAGAACATCTACTGACTCATGATAAAGTAATGTGAATGAAATTGAGAGAATCACCAATGAATCAACGGTGGGTAAAAAGAATGATGATGATTTCTGTTTGCAACTAATGGAGCTTAGAATTAAAGCAGCTCCACTATTAGAAGTATGAATCAACCAAATCTACACAATGGATAATTATGAATCAGGTGCATTAAAATACATTGAAAGCATGAACTAGCCTAAAATTCTAAATTCGTTTAATATATTTTATTTACTTGCATAACAGACTCACTCACTTAACAGGCACACCTACAGTTCGATGGTGAGAAATCAGATTATTTTTATTTACAAACAAAATAGGCGCAGCGCACCCTGAAATTGGCCATGATCAGTAGTTTTGTACCGTATTTGCATGGTTGCAATTGGACGCCCTCTTACTTAACTATGGTGAAGAAAAATAAAAGAAAAAAGACCGTGGCAGCGCTGCACGAGCTCACCAAGTGAGAAAGAAGGGCCGTTGCCTGCGCACCGGAGTAACCTTTGTCCCTGCACTGGCGTGGCTCCAGCTGCGCACGCTCAGCATCTAACGTGCAATCGCATCCTCATCAAGTGCACTTTTAGTTTCCTGTCGAGAAAATCTTCGTTATCGTGTTTTCTTCCTCGTTCGCAAATTTAAAAGCTATTCGTCTTTCAGACGCAAGCTTTCCACGTGGTGGCCACCACGTGGACTTCTACAAACTCGGCGGACTTTAATCGCCATTTCCCGGCAGTGAAGTTAAAACATCGTATCACGCATGCTACTCTTGGATCAGTGCTTGAGTGTGACCTTTTTCACCCACAATCTTTTTGCTGTCTAGTACAAACTTCCAGTGACAACATGCCGGACCATAGGCAAAGCCTAAGCAGTGTTAATTGCTTTTCGGTGGCGATCGCAGGCGATCGAAGTTGCGTTTTTTTTTTTTTATGGAATCAACGTAACTCTTCAGGTGGCCTGAAATGTGACCAGTGAATTCACACGACGGGTGCCTTTTTTTTTTTCTTTTTTGGCCAATAGTAGTAACATAAATACTATGAAAGACAAGTTCCTCCTTTTTTACTAACTTATTCTATAGGCCTCCCCCCCCCCCCTACCCTAAGTTCCATCACAATTATAAATTCCCCATGCACTTACAGGTGAACAGTGCAGTTTTACGAGCAGAGATATGTAAGAATGGCAAAAGAGGATGTGCACTCACTCTGCTTGTAGGTCTCCTTGATGGCAGAAATTTCAGCGTTGGTGCGGGTGCAGAGGATTTCAATTAGGCAGTCCTCGTCAGTGCCAGCACCTTTCATGGCAGCCTTCAACTCAGACGCCAGGAATTCATAGAGCGGTGTCATCAGCCCAACAATGACATCCTCGAATTTCCCAGACAGCTCCGACTTGAGATCCTTTACAAGGTCCTGAAAAAGCAAAGCAGGAATGTGACCACTGTTGTAAGTAAAAACCACAGTCAACAGAAGAAAACCTGCAGAGATTTTCGTTTCTCGGGGCTGAAGCAACTTCGTCTCTACTGCTTTGAATGATTGCCAGTGAAGTATTTCCCACTGGTGATCATACTGATCATAGTTCACACAGCGCATGTACGCATGAGTGAACAAGAAACAAAATGTATTGTGTCGTGGCAGCTACCACACCCTTGGTAATTTTGTTTCACTCTATCGCATAGTACTGGAGTACAGCACTAAAGTTTACATGAGAACCATCCCACAGTGCGATTAACACTGTGAAAAAACTTGCATGTATAAGACACTTCGTTTGCATGAAGATGCTGTTTTCATGTATGCATGTGTGAACAAGAGACAAAATGTATGCCATGCCAGCCACTGCACCCTTGGTAATTTTATTTCACTGTATCACATAGTACCGGAGTACTACACCAGAGTTTACATAAGAACCATCCCCCAGTGCAATTAACACTGAAAGAACTTGCATGCATTAGACACTTCGTTTGCATGATGATGCTCTTCATATCCTAAGGTGCCTGGAACAGTATCCGCATCAAGACGCATGCACTTCAGTACAATATTGCAAAACATCACTGGTCTATTGATGCGTTTTGTAGGGGTTTCCCCCCCTAACAAAGATTAAATATAATACTCAGACGCGTGAGTAACAGAGGCTACATGCAAACACAGCGACAATACTACAATGAGTAATGAAGCAGAACCAGAGCCACACCCCTCCTACTTTACAAAGGAAAGGAGACTACGAACATACTCAATGACTCTGGGGAAGCTGTTGGGGTTATTCAAAGGCCAGAAAAATTTAGAACTGCTGTCCTTCATTATATTATGTCCCTTTGAGAACAGTGTTAGGGCCATTTTCTGGGACCCTTATGGCTATGCCCATAAAATCGAGTCTCCTGAAGAAATTAGGAGAGTTGGCCGGTACAAATTTTTATAACAATTGGTACATCAACAAGGTAGGAGCATTTAACACCATGTAGGGAGCTTCCATTAACACACACTAGAATGATTTACGACTATAAACTGGTGTCTTTCATTGCATGCGAAAACTACACTCCATTTAAATGACTGCCGCCAGATTGGGCTCGGGAGGATCATTCGACACCAAGGGATCCAGTGCTAGTAATGTATGTGTGCATCTGTATGAATGCATGCCCTGGCCACCATAAGTTTGAACTAAAACATTTTGTACATGAGTTAGTTGCCATATCAAAGTACATATCCTTGTTTATTTTAAATAACATGCTCCTCTTTTAATGACAAGGATTGGTTATAGCTTACATAAATTGTGTACTCAAACTGGTATTTCTTCAGTGCTGTGGAGAGGCAAATATGAACATTGTCCAGAACATTTTATAATGTTCTTGGCAATCAGCCTTTTCCATGATGCTGCAACGCCTGCACGCTTCCCTCGCGGAAAAGTCGCATAACGACTCCTGGTCTCGGAGGCCTTCGTTCTAGCAATGCCAGTTCTCCCGGCCCCTACCAAACCCCACCAAACACCAGAGGGACAGCAAAAAAGAAAAGGCGGATTGCATCTTTCAAGCCTGCTGGTGTGTGTACACAGTACAGGCAGACTTATGAGCACTATGGCTAAAAGGGCACTGCTACACTTTTCCGAGTGACCACCGCAGGGCTTGATTAAAGAAGTTTATTGCCACACAAATGTACCACCGCAAAAATTTCTAGAATCCAAGTGCGAGCAAAGTTAAAAGATTTGTCGCACACAGCAATTGCTCACTCCTATGGTCGCAACAAGTGCACTGGAAGCTAAGCAGGAAGGGATGGGGGAAAGAGGTTACGTCACGTGCACATCATGACAATGAGCTATTCTTTTCGTTTTTATTTCAAATGAGTGGCTTACTTTCAGTGTCATCACGAGCATGTGCACAAGCACATGTAGGCCTCGACACAACTATACAGTTCACGAGGCTCAAATTGGCCAATGGCTATAAATTTCTGTACATGGTGTGGTCATTTTGGTATACGGCATCATTTTGCAAAAATAAGAGTGAATGATTTCTAGCTGACCTTGAAAATGAATTGAAAATTCCAGGCTACGTGCCGCACTATAATGTTTCACGTACTAACATACGACACTGGGTGCAAAAAGATGCGGTGTAGACAAAGTGCAATGATGAACTTTAAACGAAAGCTCGCTTACCAAACACTCGTGCGCCCTAAACTCGAATACGCTTCTTCTATATGGTCACCTGACCAAGATTATCTATCCCGAAGCCTGGAATCGGTTCAAAACCGCGCTGCTCGCTTTATCACCGGTAACTACAGCAGGCATTCTAGTGTAACTAAAATCAAGCAGTCGCTCTCTCTTTCCTCTCTCGCCTCCCGCAGAAACATTTCTCTTTTATGTCTGTTGCACAGAATCATCAACAGCAAGCACAGTTTTTCCTTGCCACTTCTCAAACCTCATCGATATTCCCGTCGTTTGCAGCATAACCTCAGTTTTCAGCGTCTATACGGGCACACTAACGCCTATAATTCATCTTCATTACCACGTGCCATTGTACTCTGGAACGATCTTCCTGAAAGTATAGCAAACGTGAAAGAAACCGAGATCTTTAGAGGCTTGCTTGAAAAACTGCCTCTTGAACTCTAGTTGTGTGCGCCTTACCTATTGTACTCCTGCTAGTTTCTGATTCTTAACGCGGTTGCCTCTAACACTGTAACGCTTCTTGTATTATATAGTTATGTAGTATCGTTTGGAATTGTATAACGTTATTGTTTGCTATTTTCTTTCATCTGTATCTTTTCTGCGCAGCCAAGTGCTTTTTGGCTTTTATAGAAAAATATTTCACAATTTTGTATTGCATACTTGCGTATTATCGTTCCGAATTATATAATGTTATTGTTTGCTGCTTCTTTCGTATCTTTTCTATTTTTACGCAGCCAGACTTTTGCATATGTATATATTTTCATCGCTCTTTGAAAATCAAAATGTACCCCCCCCTCACGCAATGTTCCCTCGTGGAACCCGTGAGGTACTTGTATAAATAAATAAATAAATAAACTACCCTATTAGTGATATATATAATATATTATATATATTGACTGCAAGTGCCTGAAGACAATGTTATGTTAACATCACTGTCACTGCCTTAGCCTCCGATGGTGGGCCATGCTTTGAGAAAACAGTATGTTGGCCCTGGTAAAACTTCACCGTATGTGCAGACAGCTGAAACCACACCGCTCCCCCCCCCCCCTTAAAAAAATCGTGCAGATTTCAAATGAAGCAGCTATCTACAGCAACCACATTGACACTTAGTTAATGCAGTGTTATGCCTGTCACCAAGTAAAAAAAAAGTATGTAAAATAACTTCAGCCATTTCTTCCTCACTCCTGCCATTCCTACCCGAGTGATGATTGTGGCAATTGTAGCCAACAGAACGAAGCAATATAAAATAAAGTCGTTTAGAATTATTACAATGAAGTGCAGCCCAAATTACAATTACAATAGCAGATAAGCAAAAATTGAGAGCTTCAGGGCATGTGGCACTGCATTATCAGCATGAGAGTTTGCAACACACGAGGCATAACTTCGACGTATTACAGCAAGATTAATTTGCAGCGATGTAGATGTCCTGATATATCTCTTGGCACGTGCAAAGCCTTTCAAACAATCAGAAACCTTAAACATCTCATGACTGGAGGCTATTTGCAATGTATGCACACCAACGACGCAGAAATACATGCACTCCCCCCCCCCCCCCCCCATTCATCATCTGCTTATTATGGAAACAATCACGGCTAAATAGCAATGCTGTTTAAAAGAAATGAAGTATGGGTCCCCATTATTACTCTTGTTGACTGCATTTGAGCAGCAAAGCCTATAAGAGATCCAACCATAAAATCTCCATATAGTGTCTCTGCATGGAAAAAAAGTTTACTCGGAAGTCATATGTGGCCACATAAATCAGGAATACGACATTAACCTCATTGCCTAAAGGCAATACTTTATTGTCTCAAAGACAAAATAAAAGGATTCAAGTATTTGCCAGCTATATTAACAAGCTGCCTTTTATTAAAAATGTGGTACCGAAACCAATGAAAGCCAAGGATAGGCCGATTGTAACTACGTATGCGCAATATCAACAACAAGTGAATCGTAGCTGGAGCCATAAAATTGCGACACCTGGCACTGTTGTTCAAGAGCACGTCGATAGCGAGATTGCCAAACCCATTCCATTTTCCTAAGGAGTGATGGCCAGGGAGAGACCGGCAGAAAGCAGCCCATCTTGCTGTTTGCCCATCTAAAAGCCCCCCCATCTTGAACGCTTGTTATTATGCTTCTTCGTTGCTTATTGGCTAGATGTGGCTGTTTTTGCTTTTTTCACTGAAGTTGTGAGCAAACGCATCTTTATTGGAGTTGCCCAGAAAAAAGTGCTTGTTGGAGCCCCTGCTTTGGAAATCGGAATGTGCTTGGCACTATCGATATCTGCGTGCTCGGGAAAAACAGTGTCACGATCGCAATGTTGCCGCTTCAGCCACTCGTCATTTGTGCCAATCATTTTTTGGTTCAGACTGTACATACAGTAAAACAGCCCCTTCAGGCACTTTACATAAAGTCCAGAGCCCCATTTAAATTACAGACGATTCTCTCACATTAGGCAATAGCTTATGTTCACATTCTCAGCAGCACAACTAGCCAAAGCCATTCATTGCTGCTTACCCTTGACATGTCAAAGCAAAACTACCCACACTAGACAATATATAACTGACAGACACAACACACATATTATAACCATCCTTCAATGAAATATTATCGGAAATGCAGCAGGCATACTTTACCCAAGATTACAGCCTGGCAGGAAAGTAAAACCCACAAGCAAGCCAAAAGGCACCTCTACGGCACTCGCATACATCATGCACAATCCACACAATGGGGCCACGACTCACCCGTCCAAACATCTGCTTGTATGTTGTCATGATCGCCTGTCGCTGGTCGCTCGTCCTTTTTGCGAGAATAGCAATGATGGCAGCCTCATCGGTGCCTGCAGAAATAAAAAAGAAAAAAAGAAAACACACTGAAGCCTACAGAAACCATGCACCACCCATTAAAAATTCACAAGAAAAGAAAATGAGCATGCACAAACTTTGTCATTCTAAAGCCAGCAACCACTCAACATTTCCAGAGTTACCACAAGACACACTTTTGCTCTCATTATAAATGGAAAGCAAGGCACCTCAACTATACATTAAACAAAATTGTATGTGAATTCCAAATACTTCATGCCTACATGTCACTTTGCTTTCTTGCACCTGAACACACATTTCCACATTCAACATGCTTACTGGCCCGATGAATGGAAGCATGAAGTGAGATAAATTTATCCAAACTTATTATCAGATAATTTGAAGATCGTTGAAATATATTTAAGAAATATTTAAATCCTTTCTAACATAGTATTTAATCAATTAACTGCCATGTACAAAGTAAGATGCCAGCCATAAACTTCTGCAACCACCCATTTCTCTCTTCACTCGCAGTAACAACCCACACCCACCAATTTTTACCCCAGTGTGTCGTCATCAGAATTATAAAGGCACAAAAACAATGCATACTATATTTAGGAAAACAGAGAACTGATGCAACCCTTTTGAAACAACTAAGTGCCATTATCTGGCAAAGACGTATTACAAACCTTACCTACTGGCATATAGGTCCACCGAAAATGTTTCATGGATGGAATGAAAAGGGTTCAACAGAGCAGCAATGTCCAGCAAATGCTTGCAAGGTAAAAGAATACTGCAGACGTGTGACCCGTCCCTACTACCCAATTCCACTGGTCACCAGCTTTGCACTACAAGTACAGTTTGTATCAGCTCTTCTTTAACCAGAGTTGACTTAAAGGGAGGCTGAAAAGTATTAGCTTTATCTGTAGCTCTAGGAAATACCTTTCCTGCACAAGCCAATAAGGTCTTTTCTGATGACAAAAGGCTCAGAAAAAAAAAAAAAAAACAAGCCAAGAACGTTAACAGCAATGCTGCCTTTGAATTGCTATGGCACTTATAATGGACTTAATGAACTTTTTTGACAGCTACTATTTAGGTTTATGAAAAGTTATTCCATGGGTGAATCACATTGCATTATAAGAGAAGAAAGGGCTCAGTTTTACCAGTTGTGAAAACTTTACAGTAATACACACACACACACATGCACATCACATGAATTAACAAACTCAAGTAGGTTTATATATTATGTATGATCCCCAAGATGAGACTACCTCCAGCACTGATTACCACAAGGATGTGTGCAACTGCTAGCCAGGGCGGCCACATTTGGATACGGTTGAAACAACACCACCTTTGAACTGATATTACTTGGTTTAGATTGATAAACTGCACTCTGGGAACTCAATACCATAAGTTTCAGTATCATAAGTCCATTATTAGTGGAGAAAATAAAGATAAAAGTCTAAATTTCGAGCCGAAATTTCCACACGTGTCACGAATATTTTTCAAACTTTTTTTGTAACTTTGTGATATTCGCTGACTAATTTTTTGAAACTTCATAAGCTAAGCCTAAGCACCTACAGATGACAATGTAATTCATTATTTTTTTCTCATTAGAAGCTACATAGGACCCAGCAAATCAAAATTTATGACACCAATGTGTTCTGTGCAGAAATCTTAAGCATTCTCCGCCCGCATTTTCTTTTCATGTGTTTTCTTGCTTACCATTTTTGGGCTTGTGAAATCGTACTTTAGTAATACGTAAAATATCATTTTTCTCCATAATCTATAATCTCAACAGCACACCTCATAATTAATCCGTAGTCTATCAATAATACACCTCCCTCATAATCTTTTGGTTCTAGGATTACAAATTATAGAATATGTACTTTTCAGTCCTAATTAACCTAGTGTTTTCTCTATGGTTTGTTATTTATCATTTGTGAAATTGTACCACCAGCCTCAAAGTCTGCTTGCATCAGAAGGCTCAGAACAAACACGCCAAGTGCAACCAGGAATTTATAACCCCCCCCCCCCCTACCTAAAATTTTTGGACCACCAACCCACACACCCCTTTAATCTTACAAACAAGCACTCATCCTCACCCTCGTGTTGGGTTAATGCCCCTCTAATGCTAGATAAGTCCCCCCCCCCCCACCCCTGGAGTACAGCCTCCTATCTAAGGAGCACTATATAAAAAAAAAAGGATCACCCTCCTTCAGGTTGGCTGTAACTCATATAAATTGATATGTGTGGTTTAAAGACTAACATGTTTACAGTGTCTTTTTAGCTGCACAAGCATAATATTGCATGTCAGTTCGCATGTCAAGTCCTCTGGCTGAAATCTGCAAGTTAACAGTGCAAACACATGGCTCTGCAGCTGGAAGACGCATTGCAGTACATATAGCAACTGTTTACTTAACTACCCACTCAATTTTTTTCAACAACAGTAAATGACCACAATGAATGCTTCAAAATGTGAGCTGCCCACAGTGCAGCACCCATTCATGCTTCCCACGTAAAACATTTTATGTAAACCTGGGTCAAGCAACCATTAATTTATTCTTCCCAGTACTTCAGAGCCAGGAACATCATGTGCCCATAGCCTTGCACCAAATCAAGATTAGTTTTCCCTATGTGGTAAGACCTCAGCTCCCAACTGAGCTGATAAACCAAATAGATTTCTAATGTGGTCTTTCAACAGGTAAACAATGGCTCACCATTAGCAACAGCTAACATGGTTATAAAGAGTTATAAAGAGTAATTCAGCTATAAAGAGTTTCATATAGAATGAATATATGCATGGACATAATTAGGTGAAACAAGTAACCACATGGTAAATTTACCAAAGCCCTTCATGGCCTTCCTAAGTGCCTGGGCATCATCTTGGGGATTGAATCCTGGGTAGGGTCTGATGGTGGCCTGTGCAAAAATTAAAAAAGCACATTATGCGAAGTGTGAGCAGTACCGTTATATGCAAATTAAAATCAACAGCCGCGCCCACAAGAACGACACTCACCATGTTTCTTGCGTTGCCTGGACTCTGCAAGCAGAAAGATACAAGGAAAATGTAAGAAACGGTAAATAAGTACAGAGCACCGCGCACGGTTGTTTTCTAAGTGGGACAGAGCTAGGGGCGGGGCGACGTCAGACGGAGCACCGCCGACACAGAAAACGAAACACAGCGACAGCAAAGCGGGAGGAAGGTGAACATGTGCAGTGACGTTATGGCCACGTGACATGAGTCACGTACCACGACAACGCAGAGCTTTTATTTTGCTTTCACCACAACGCGAGGAATATGCACGTGCGTAGCAGAGGCCGGTCCATAGTTATGGAGGATAGACACATCAGGTAGCGAGCTTTACCAATGGCGGCCTAATGGAAAGCCACGCCAACACGCACGTTAAATATGCCGTCGTCCCGACGCGGCTACTGGGCGACGAAGCAAGTCGCAAGAAACAAATGGATCGCTGGTCATTGTCGCACAGTCAGTCGACCATAAAACGTCGCCATAGCGACGACACATGTTCGCTTTCTAGCGCGATTCGAAGGGCCCGAACTCAGGTCGAAAGGCAGCCGGCGATCGACCCGATCGCAGTCGGGGACGTCGGGCGGAGCGCGCTAAGTGGCCTAAGAACTAACTCACCAGAGAATCCGACTTATTCAACACGGAGTGACTCACCAAAAGTCGCTGTCGATGCGAATGTAGTCAGAGAAAGCGGTTCCCGCTGTGGTCTAACTGGAGCAGTCAACGCAAAAAACCTGGCCACACCTACTGCCGCATCCACGCTAGCGATGGACGGCGATCCGAACGAGCTGCTAGAACGAGACTAGCGAGCCACCGCGCGCCGCGCGAGAGCGAGGACAGGTCAAGATGGCGCTGCGCTCGCAAGCGATAAAAAGGTGAACAAAGGGAGCGGCAACAACCTGACGACCCGCGTCACTAAGTGGATAAAATGCACATGCGGCCTAATTAGGTGAACGAGATCCGACATTGTTCTTGACCAGGCAGAATACCGAGAAAGCTTGCAATCAATGCTATCACCTGCCCAGGTGCCCCGCCTGTGGAAATCGAGCAACGCCCCTCCAGTTGTGCGCCGATTACATTGCAGTCAACACTGCAGTAATGACGAAACTTCTCCGTACAGCCAAAAGTTCACGCGAAACTGTTTATCGCACACTGATGGGAGAGACAATGCAGAATTGTTCATGAGTAGTCGCCAACGCGACTGCTCCACATTCCTCGCGACTGACCAAAAACACAAACAGCGCGCGATTTCTCGCGTTCATGCGGGTCATGCAGATGTGTTCACATCTTCGTTTGCACGACGGTTCGCAAAATTTTAAAGCCGGAACCAAAATGGCGACCCAAGTCTTTTTCTACCCAGACATTCGCGAAGATCCTCCTCTCAAAATTGGGAAACAACGGAGTGCGTGCCATGAGCACACAGCTTCCTGGAAAGCAGCGCGCGATGTGTGAACAAAAACAAAGAAGAAACTCTTCTTAAAACGTCGGCGAGGAAGGTGACGAAACGACCTCGAGTATGGGATGGGTGGGCACCACGTACCAAGGCTCTCACGGAGACAACTTGGCGAGCGTACCACAGCGCGACTCTCCCCCGCCATAAAAATGCACGCTGGATTTGCTCCGTCGCCACTGCCGCTTCGCAGGAAGACCCATTCTTCCGCCCCTCTCCCCCCCCCCCTTTTTTTTTTCGCCTATTAGGCGAGCTGCCTGGCGTGCTCTGGCGCCTGCCAGGAGATCGAATGGGGCCGTCCGAAAACTTGGCCCGTTCCCAAGGCAGAAGTAACTCGCCCTCGGGGGCGCTAAAAATACGTGCATCAGACTACGTGAGCGTAAAGAAATAAAAGCGTGCGCACGCGAGGCGGAGTTTTTAGGACTGCCTGGTCATCACTACGCGGCTGCGGGACGCGGGCAAGAACGTTACACGCGTTACACAACACGCCCCCTTCCCCACAAACTCCAGTCCGTTCTCATTACCTCTTTCATTCCTGCACTCGCTACAGGTGCAGCACCGGCCGGCCGGCCCAGCGGCAAACGCCGCGCTTTATCATCTTTTCCCTCCCTCCTTTTTTTTTTTTTTTCTTTTGCATTGCGGTATAGACTCGCCGTATTTGCATACACAACGCCAACAACTACTGGAGGTCCCATAGGTTAGTAAAAAGCCCAGCGTTGGACTAGTTCATGCAGCATTGCCAAACCTTCCCGGCGAACCTAAGACGGGACAATAAGTGGGCCTCAGAGTGCCCAGTGGCCATTGCTCCGGATCCTTGAGCCTGCTGCACCGGGAAGCTCGAGTATTATTTTTTTCCAAAAGAAATTCCCTTACCCCTTATTGCATGCCTTATCTTATTCCAAACGTGCTCAAGACACCGGGTTGTAAATACAGTGAAATACGTACCAGCTGCGCCCTTACCTCAATGCCTAGCGATTATGATGAAAGGGGGGCCTAATGAGGGAATGAGACAGCGTCGTTGACCAGCGCGAGTTTCGAGGTCAAGGTGGCAAATGTACAGCAGCAACGGAAACAGATTGCCACAGCCCTGCCGCGGTGGTCTGATGGCTAAGGCACTCGGCTGCTGACCCGCAGGTCACGGGTTCGCATCCCAGCAGCGGCGGCTGCATTTCCGATGGAGGCGGAAATGCTGTAGGCCCGTGAGCTCAGATTTGGGTGCACGTAAAGAACCCCAGGTGGTCCAAATTTCCGGAGCCGTCTACTACGGCGTCTCTCATAATCATATGGTGGTTTTGGGACGTTAAACCCCACATATCAATCAACAGATTACCACAAGTGATTGGTTGCCTGAGCGGCAAGTTTGCGACACGTGGCTCTGCTTTTCCCGAGCACACGGATATATGCCAAAGCCATTCCATTTTACAAAGCAGCTAGGGGTGGCCGGCGGAAAGCACTCCAACAAGCAGCTTTTTCTGGACAACTACGACAAATATACGGCGACTCACAACTCCAGCGTAAAAGGAAGAAGAAAAAAAAAGAAACATATGAGCATAGCCACATCTGCTGACAAGCAACGAACAAGCGTTTCTTTAAGATATGGGCTTTCAGAAGGGCCGACATCAAGCTGGGCTGCTTTCCGCCGGTCTGCCGGCCACCCTTGTTTAAGAGACCGGAATGTGCTAGGCTATCAGCACAATGGTCACTCGCGCTAATTTTTTTCCGTTCAGACTGTACCAATGCTAGCTGGTGGATAAAAGCGTATGATGCTGTGTGTTAGCCTAGTCAACATAAACCAACATGGCAATTGTTATAGAACTTGTAGGTTATTAGATAAACTAATTATAGTATAGTGGGCAATGGCAGCCAATGCAATGTGTGGCTTTCAGTGCGCTTCCACACATATGACAGATACTGTATGGACACGTTATAGAGGGCCCGTAAGATGTGAAATTCAGCTTGCACTGAATGTGTATACTATCTCTGTGCCACCTAAATGGTACAATCACACCACTCTAGGAGCCGGACAAAACGCAAATTGCACAATGAATTCCATTGGGCACACAGCCTTACTAACAATGCCATAGTTGAAGAATTAAGGTCGAAAAAAATTGTTCCTTGCGTCAGAAAAGTTTGGCACTTTTAGAAATTTCTGGTAATCCATTCTGGTTATAGTAACAAATACTTTGATATATTTCAGAAAAGTTTCCAAAACTTGCAAAGTGAATATGACATCACTGGCCCCTATCCTCGATTTGGCCATAGCAATGCGTGTCCACTAGAGCGAATAATTGAAAAGTTAAATAGCAGAACATTTATTAACTAGTCGTGAGAAAAGGCATGCCTTCCAAGCAACCACGTGCTGTTCAAGTCATCCACCCGAAAAAACGTAATCCAGCTTTATGCTTTTTGTTAATCTGACTGATATGCTATGATTATAGGCGCAAAGGCCAGACATATAATCAAGGATCGTGATGCGCGCGGAGATCCTGACGGTGGTTCTGCTTCGACGCTTATGCCACGGCGGAAGACAGATACTATACGACCTTACGTCACGCAGCCAGCCTTGGCAAGCGGATTTCTCTGTGAAACTGGCATAGTGTTCGGCCGCGCTTTGACGTAGCGATCACGTTTTGGTTTGATGCGCTCACATGATGAGGATATGCCATCGATAGCAATCAACCCAACGGGGCGATTGCGCTTCCAATGCCCGTAAGATTTATTTGGTAACAGAAACCGTGGATACCTAAATTCTACAATTACAAATACAATTTTATTTTTTTTCGTTAAATGAAGCCTCATAATGACCTCTCCCCTCCTTAGCAAAGGGCAAACACCCACAGAGAGACAATTGCCTAAGAAAAAAAGGACGCTGACCTAGCCACGCGATCATAACGAGCGTTGTCGATATAAGCACATAGTAGAATGCAGGGGAAGTAGGCTGCTAGCCAAGGCAAGAGAGGAGCCACGGTTTTTTTTTTTTTTTTTCTTATTTTCGGACAACGTAGGGGGTGGAGTGGGAGGTTTGTTCTCTCAATGATATATGTTTGTATGCGTGTATACATGTGCCCATATATACGCATACAAAATCTGAAGCATTAGGGAGGCAGTGGGGTGCGAGTTAAACTCTCAAACCACCTCCCTCGCCACTCACTCCACTGGAGGAGTTTCTGCTGGCAGTGGCTCTTGCTGCCTGATCGATGCAACTTCTCATAAATCCTCTAACATTGATTTGGTTCGAAAAGCACTTCCAGTAAAGCGCTTCCCGATTGGCAGCTTACAACTCCCTGTTCGTAACCAAACTTTGTAATGGGTCCTGGTGACGGGCCCTTTAACAAATTCTGCCCAACTTTATTAAACTGAGGCTCCACTATACGTAGCAAACACCAGCTACCGTGTCAATACACTGAAATACATGACGGCAGAGCATATAATGATGCCGTGAGCTATAAATGTCCCATAACATGCAGCAGGTGTTTCATGTGGAATGTCCTGTCCTACTCAACATTGTGTTTTGTGCAGTGCACAAACGGCATTTTTTAAAGGGGCCATAAAAAGGGTAAATGCTGAAACATGACCAATTTTTTAAAATTTCGATGCCAAGAAAAAGATGACAGTGATATTGGGAACAAGTTAAATCAATTAGGGTAGGTGCCAACAATTACATTGAAATCCACCAAGTAATCACACACAAGCTGGGATACTGAGACAGAAGGACCACTTAGTGCTTCGGTCAACAAGCTTTTAAATTGCATTTCCTTCTATTATTTCACGTATTCACAGCGACCTATGACTTTCCTGTACAACAACATTGCAGGTTCAGACATGAATTAATAGAAGCAGAAGAAATTTGCAAGCCACATTGCGAACAACAACCCCATCACACCATCACAGGTTGAGCATGATTGCCTAGCTAATAAAGAGCCCTACAACACTTGTTCAGCATGGTAAATAAACGTTGTCGATGTGTAGTCAACGCACCTAAGAACATGCGAGCCAAACATTGTAGTTCAGCACGCAGCCTGGAATTCACAATCAATTCCCTAAGTCGGCTGAAAATAATACCCTTTTCTTTCTACAAACGATGCCATGTACTCAAATGACCACGCCATATACCCGAATTCATGGCCATTGGCTAATTTGAGCATGATGAGCTGCCGAGTTGAGGCAGCCGGGGGAGATCGCTACATGCCCACGCACTCGCTCACAATTACACTCAAAGCAAGCCGTGCGTTTGAAGAAAGAAATTTAAAGTGCTCAAGGTCATGATGCATGCGTGATGTAACTTCTTTCCCCTCCCATCCTTCAACGCTAAGCTTTCCTGCTCCTCCAGGCGAGAGGAGAGAGAAAGCAATTGCAGCGTATGGCAAATCTCTGTGCTAGTTTACCTAACGTATTCTAAAAATTTTTGTGGCGGCCGATTTGTGAGGCGATGAACTGCTTCACTGAAGCCACTCAATGGTTATTTGGCAAAGTGTGGCACAGCCCCTTTGCGGTAATCATAGGCGCTAAAAAAGCTTCAAGTGGTTTCACCCATCTCCAATATCCCTAGCTTTATTTTTAAGATATAATTGTTCATATTCTACTCTTTTCAAAATCAAAAGTCCGCTGGAAGTCAGCACTCTGTCTTCTCTGTAGCTTTGCTCCAAAAAGTCTATATGTGCACAGCGCTTCTGTTCACCTGTCCACCAGCACTTCTGTCCACCAATGGCAGCCATTTTTAATTTTTTACATTTACTTACGTTCATCTCTGAATCAAGCACATCACTGTTGTAATAACAGGAGAGTGTAAGAAGATGGAATTTCAAGGTATATGGAAGCTTGAAGTGGTGAACAGCTGTCAAACAAGGAATACTGCTCCAGTCAACACTTTGAGAAAGGCACTTGTGTCAAGACAAGTCCAGCTGCTGAAGTGTTCACTCATATTCATAGTTCATTGTATTGTCGTTACAATAAGAAGCGAGATGATTGACTCACTTTACTGTCATAAGAAAAAACGTTTCTGTGGTGCCCTGCCATGATCACTGCCCATAACTTACAGCAGCAACCTGACTGCGGCACTACCAGCACACAACTGGAAGCTTGTATACATTACCAGATATTCATGAATATTAGCAATGGTCAAATAAAACTCCAGCTTACATTGAAAGTAAAATCACTAAGATGTTTCTTTAGTATGTTCAGATATTCTGCCTGTCAAACTGCCCTACAAGGTTACATAAACCCTTTCAAAGTTGTAGTTGTATTTTCTGAAGCATGACCATTACCTACATACTGATGTTGACTTCATTCAAGTGACGATTGAGCTTGCATTTTATGCCTAGCATTGCATGAGCTTGCATTTTGTGCCTAGCATTGAATGAGCTTGCATTTTGTGCCTAGAAGCTTGCATTCTAAGTAAGAACACCCTCAAGACGCAGCCTTATGATAAAACAGATATCCCTTACTCTGCAGAAAAAAATGGCTGAAGTGATTCCGGCAGCAGGATACCAAGAAAACCGAAAGGTCATTCTCTCAAAGGTTGAAGCTTCTAGAACAAACAGAACACAAAGTAGTGTTGTGCTCAATAGCTTCCTTTCCCTCCCTGAAACCCTAAAAAAATAGTAACACCCTCTGCCAATTAATATTCTGCATCTACTAAACAGTACTAATGAAAACTAAAATGTGTTCATTCTTCTAACAACAAGCTCTTAAATTTCCACTTTTTTTTTTTTTCTGCTGAACAGTGGCTCACATAGCCTAGCAGCAAGTTTCTGGGGTAAAATATGATTAAACTGAGCACAGCTTTTCTGCTACAGAGCAAAGCAGCACAAATTACTTGAAGTGAGAAGCTTTTTTTTTCTAAATGGGCCAAATACAGGATTAAAACTAGTTCAAATAAGGCTGCTTAGACCCATACATACTCTCAACTTTCATCATACAGAAATAATAAATTACTGATCCTTATTAATAATTTATTATTACTGATTTAGAGGAAAGTTGAGAGCATGCGCCAACAGAGCCTTATTTGAGTTAGTTTCGGTTCTGTATTTGGCTCATTTTTAAAAACAAAAAAACAAAAAGCTCCTCAAATATGTGACCTAAAATAACTTGCCACAACACAAAACAGCACAGCCGTTTCAATACATAAAGCATTCAGCAGATTACCAAATGAGTAGTGAAGCATTCCAATGGGAATAATGTTAGCAGTAACCGAGACCTTTCAAATTCAGTACAATTTTATCATGGCTGTGGTAGAAGAATAGAATACTACTCAAACTGTACTCAGATGCACTTACTCAGCGTACAGCTTTTTTTTTTTTTTAGTTGCCCAGCAACACTCAACAGGAGGTAGTAACTGCTGTCGCATAGAAGTACAGACTTCGTAAATGAAGCTGAAGCAACCTTTCCAATCATAGCGAATACACTCCAACCTCATTATAACTGATATTTCAGTTACAAGAGAGCAGTTATATTGAGGTTTTAGTGTGCGTGTTTATATATATATATATATATATATATATATATAAGAAAAGAAGTGTATACTTAAAGGCTCATTTTTCCGTCTTTTACACAATATCATTGAGATGTAACAGACAATAATGCCAATGAAAGTATAGGGGAAGATATTAGACCGAATTGTAATGTAAATATGAAGAAAAAGAAGTAGGTGAAAAGATAACTTGCCGCGGGCAGGAACCAAACCTGCGACCTTCGAATAATGCGTTCAATGCTATATATATATATACACACTTCTTTTCCGTCCTGCACGTGTGTGTGTTTGTGTGAGTAGATATACACATATAGATAGATATATATATGGAAGGAAGCAACAATGAAACTTTCATGAACGCATTTACTGACTGGTTCATTAGCTCAAAACGTTCAGTAAAGACTCTTTCATAAAAGTTTCGGCATCCCTTCCTTGCATAGAATACATCGGGTCTAGTGCGTGTGTGTGCACGCGCGCTATTTTTTAATTTAGCCACACTTTTTCATCAAAGTGTTTGCTTGGAAGCTGCCAGAGCAATTTGTATTTTGCAATTACCTGCGAGAAAGAACACCTGCTACATATTTTAAAAGTCAAGAATGTATGTACCAGCGAACTACAGTGCAACCAACCATTTTTGTATTGCTCAATTTTCTTACGATCAAATGTTACAGCCCAGTAAACACCAAGGAAAATTGGTATATAAAATCAGACCAAGCATAAAAGCAAAATATAGTACCAATAATATTTCTTAATGATGAAATATAGTCACAGCTGAGACATATCCCACTGTGTGGATATGTCTACATATCGCACACTTACATGTTGACAAAAGTCTTATCACTTACATCTCGTAAACGCTGTCCTGTATAGGATGCTGAGTGAGTAACATGGGCAGCGCTGGAGTAAACAGATCCTGCTCCATAGGCTGACTGTGCATAAGGTGTACCATAACCACCAGGTGTCGTGCCTGCGTTAGGGTAGCCTGCAGATGGGTATGTGCTGGGGGCTGCCTGTGTAGCAGGATAGCTAGCAGCAGACACAGGTGCAGGATAGCTACTCTGGCTTGTTGGGTAGCCAGGGTATGCTTGAGCTGAACTTTGATGGCCAGTGGCTGTGGGCATAGCGTAGCCAGGCTGGCTAGGGTGACCAGGCTGACTTGGATAACTGGGCTGGCTTGGATAACCAGGTTGACTCGGATAGCCGGGTTGGCTCGGATAGCCGGGTTGGCTCGGATAGGCAGGTTGGCTAGGATAGCCGGGTTGGCTCGGATGGCCGGGTTGGCTCGGATAGGCAGGTTGGCTAGGATAGCCGGGTTGGCTCGGATGGCCGGGTTGGCTCGGATAACCGGGTTGGCTCGGATAACCAGGCTGAGAAGCAAAACCTGGCTGGGCCGATGGATAGCCCGCAGAAGATGATTGTGAATATGTCTGGTTTGGCACTTGGGGTGGGTAGCCAGGAGTCTGTTGGGCAACTGGTGGTGCTCCATAGACAGCACCCATCGGGTAACTTGGTCTATCTTGAGGTGGGTAGCCCGGATAACCCTGCTGTGGTGGATAAGGATTCCCACTTCCGCCTGGGTAACTCATTGTATCTTGTTACAAGCGGCACTGCAAAGAGGCAGCAACAAACCGTGAAAATGACAAGAGAAACCTGGGCTAGTAGGTGATAGTGTTTTGACCAGCTTACAGTGCTGAAAGGTCGAGAACATAAATATGACATAGGTTGCTCATAAAAATGACGTTCATGCAATATTTAATCAAAATATTGTGGTTTCACTGATTTGGAGTTAATGTGTGGTAGCGCCTCAATGCTTCCAAGGCATTCCAAATAGAGTCAACGACTGAACTATTGGTCCTCAAAAAACGTCCACACCAGGGATGTAAAGAATGTACTAGAAGCACAAGGACTGGGAATATCAGTCGTTTAGATAATTACATAGGATATATTACAAAGGCCTATCACTGCGATGCTTCAATACATAACCATCGGGTTGCGCGAAAGCTGGCCTGTGCATTTCAACACACTTTCTGCGAAAGCTTTATTGTATCATTATTTTCCCGTGCAATCTTTGTTTCCCTCCCGCTGGTGTCGCGAAGCTTTTTCCTCTACGGGCGGCAGCCTGTAGAGGCGACGCAACAGGTAGAGAAGTTTGTAAATCTGGCTCCTCCGCATCGCTCAATTCTCAGAAATTAGGCATGCAACTGGGTCACTGAACAAGCGAGCAGAAGCTACATACCTAATGTGTGCCCAGCGGGAAACCTGAGCCACGCTTACGTCACGAGGAAACGAGGTGACGCGCGCAGCCGGCAGCCGGGTTGGGCGTATGCGCACGGTTTGTTTACGGACCCGGATAGTAGAGTGTGCGTCACTATATATACGCATGAAGTAAGCACTCAGTAAAACTTTGAAACGTAAGCCTGAGAGGTACGCAGAGCCAATAATACAACCCCGATGGACCTAGAACATAGCTTCCTCTCAAGCACCAAAACAGGCCGAAAGTCACGACCGGCAAATGTTGGCAGTTGTTTGCCGACAGTCGAGAGTATATACCACAGCCTTGCTTCGAATTCAAAAAGTTCTGCAGCACCCTGATGATGCCCGATGACGACTCACCTGACTTTGCAATGCTCCTAGAAAGTACACAACCAGGTATTACACACTAAAATTAATTGATCACCACAGAACTGATCCCTTCAATCTTCGCACCGCCGTTATCTATGGCAGTCTCCGAGAATAACGTCAGCGGTCCAGCTGCAGTCTCGGAGTCCGTCTATCTATGGTAGCAAGTTGCTGCCGCCGAGGCGCAACGGCAGCACCTCACATCAAGGACAAGAAAAGTGATGCGATGGCACTCGTGCTGCACTGCTTGCGCACAGCTATAGGCACAGCGATGTAAGTACATGCATCCAACTGTACAGCGTGCCATACGAATGTTCGACAGGCCTACAGGGACCAGAAATAAGGGGTATCTCTTGAGCACATTGACAGTGCTATTTTTTTGTGATTTCCCAAATTTGCAAGCTTTCCTGCTATAACTCAACCACTATAAAAAAGTAATAATAAATAAATAAAATAGAAATCACAGCATGATTATTACGATGTATTTGCGGCGAATATTGAACGGTCGCACCATTTATTACCATTAAAAAGAAAAGCCACTACAACGCAGCTAGTTTCATTACACAACCCTGCACTTCGCCTGCGCGGCAGGATCAATGAACAGCTTCCAAAATGAAGCCGTATGTTCGCGTGTTGCAGCTTTTGTCCACCACATTCACCGTTTTTCGAGGACTTTGAAATTCGCCTCTGAAAGAGAAACAAGAACGAAGGATGTGAAGTAGCCAGAATCGTGAACATTTAACCGCCGGGTGCCTCACCGAGTCGCTTGGAGTAGGCGTCCAACTTGTATGCTGCTTGTTCTAATTTAGTCACGCTGTCCTCCACTTGGTCAATTTGGTCCAAATACGGCTTTAGACACCGATCTATACGAACGGGAAGACATATGCACGCTACATTAACGATTTTCGCGCGGCTACAGTGGTGAGAGATATGTACACCTCATATTACTCACATTTCCCGTTAAGGTCCTCAAGAGCTTTCGAGACATTGCCAGCGATTTGTTTCATATCACTGTACTTCGTTATGGTCAGCTTGTTCATTTCTTCTGTCAACCTGTAATCGTCCAGTGTAGCTGCAAAACGCGCGCAAGCAATTCCGTACTTTAAGCAGGTTTTTACGCATGTCAAAGTACGCATATTTCCACATTCTGTATGACATCGCACATATACTAAACACTATCTGGGGCGTTGGAAAATACATCGCATTTTGTCACCCATCGGCAACACAAACCATTCTGAATCAGCTGATTCAGAAAAACTCACATGAAAGTTCGGCTTGAATGTACTCTCCTGTCTTTTCAAACATCGTCGCCGCTAGTTCATTTAAATTGCGCGATTCGGTGGCTGTATCTCCTGACTCCATAATCAATCAGTAGCAAATGAAATTAAATTAAATATTCAGCGAAACGCCGAGCAAAACAAGCGCAGTCGCGCAGCCCGATTGTCAACGCTAGTACAGTGTTGCCTATTGCTGCGTCAAAGCATACGCTAAACTTGAGTTGTATGTACTTTGAACAACCTCATCTACATAACCCTCTCTGCTTACTGCAGAACTTAAATTTGGTGTAAGTTTTATATAAATTTATGCGTATTTTAATAACTCTGACACTCACAAGAGCAGTTACAGTAAAATAATTTGGCGCTAAATTTGATTTGTAAATGCTATATATATATATATATATATATATATATATATATATATATATATATATATATATATATATATATATATATATATATATATATATATATATATATATAATTCTATTGGTACTTCGCTTGTCGCAAAGCAAACTTGGCCTCCTTAAACAACTTGTCTCAAAAAGATGTTCTTGTTTAGAGGAGTTTGTTTTATTAACAGCAATAAGCCACAAGCTAACTTTGGCCGGCACAAGCAGAACTTGTCGCTAGTAGGTGTATTTTAGGTATATTTGCTTGGAGTTAGCACAATGGAGTGGGCACAGGCTTGTAGTAGAGCAGCGAATTGGGCTATTTGGAACAATTGTAGTTTATTTACTTTTTTAAATTGATGTCGCCAAATGTTTAACGTGCACGAGCGGCGGCTTTTATGTGCGTCAGCGCCATACGATGGTGCCAAGTTGAAAGTTGTGCACTCTAGATAAGATAGGAGCGTGTCCACAAGGTGTGCTCAGCTGTACCGGTCGTCTGTTATGCGCACATCAGAGGAATAAACAACCTGGGCAGAAGAACACTTTTGCTCTGACTTTATGTCCGTTTACGTTGCAGCAAGCAATTGAGGGAATGGAACACATACCCATTCGGTAAACAGAGGATCGTGGTTTGAAGTGAGCTAATATGGGTTTCCTCGAGAACCTACCTACCATGTAGGAGATTATGGGTGCAGCTGAGCGTGCTTTGTAGGCACGGAGGAAGGAAAAGGTAAGGAGAGGCCCTGACGTCACTCGTTGTGAAGCCGCGATGAAGCCGGAAGTCGGCCATATTGAGTAGGCAAATTCTCCTCTCTTGTTTACATATGAATGCGAAACAGAAGGCGCGACTCCCTCTCCGGCTCGGAAAGCACGTGGGCTGCGCAGCGCGTGTGTCGTGACGATCCGAAACTAATGGAACTGGGCTCATCACTCAACGCCAGCGGGACACCTTCAGCGAAGTCGCTTCGTCCGAGTAATAACAAAGAGTAACAGCTCGCTGACAACGAAGCAACTACGAAAGAACGCGCGCTAGATGCACTGACAACGGCGAGTGCTTTCACGTCATTAATTGAGCAACTGTACAGACAACACGATCGGTCGTGCGCCTTCTACGGTTGCATTCCGCCACGCGACTGACGCAGCGTCCGGCCACTGTGTCCGTGTTCCGCGTGAAACTCACCTCCGTCAGCATTCTGCGACCGTGGTGACTTTGAGCACGGTACTAGTGACAGTTGAACGTGGTTGCTGTTACGTTGAGATTACATGCAATGCTGGTGGAGAGTGTACCAAGCGGAACAGAAAAGGTGTTTTAATACGCACATGCAAGTTGTTACTGTACACACACAACACGAAACTACGTATGTGCACATGGTCCTCACGGCGTCTTGCTGGGCTCAACAGCGTCGTCCGTTGTCACAAGCAGGAGCACTGCTAAACCGTCACTGACCTGCAAGGCGTTCGTCGTCATTAAGCTTCGTCATGGTGCCCAATGCCATTTCGCTGAACATCAACTGCTTCATCCGCGTCATCCGCCGCACGATACATGGATATGCACTTGTTCTACGCACTGTTGAAACCCCGTGATGGACAAAGAGATTTGTAAACGTTGCTAAGAGTAATGTAACAGCCAGACGAACACTGCGTAACCAATAACGCGGCGCAGAGCACAGATATTGTCCGCCACGGCTCAGCACGATACCTGGGGAGGCACACATTCCGCCGCCAGCCGCGGCCGCTCACTGCTAGACCAGCTTCACTGCGCAACACGTAACCGTAACAACGCCGCCATTATGCTTACTGAATATGGCTAAAGGCGTCCTTCAAAACGCTCCGTGAAGTTTCAAGAATCCTGCTTTTTTCCTCACTTAAGACTGTTCAAATTAAAGCGGTTAGTCCTCCTGGCCATAGCGAATAATGCTAGGTAGCAAGGGAACGCCCCAGGGATCGGTTTTGTCCCCGTTCCTTTTTAACGTTACTCTCATACCGCTAGCGCGGGAACTTGCCAAACTTTCTTCTATCAATCACTCCTTGTACGCGGATGACATCACCATCTGGGTCAATACTGGCAACCATGGCGAAATCGAATCGAAGCTTCAGTTGGCCGCTGACATTGTTGTTAAACACGCCAACAATATTGGGCTCACCTGCTCGGCGGCTAAATCGGAACTCCTAGTAATTGACTTTAAAAAGCAAGATACATGTCACATTCAAGTCATGCTTGATGACACCCCTATTCACAGGGTCAATAAAATGAATATTTTAGGCCTTAATATTTCCGAAAATGGCTCGAACGCTGACACAATAAAGTTAATCCGCTCCTCAGTTCAAAATACAGCTTCCCTCATTAAGCGCATATCCAATCGTCATCGCGGCATGAGGGAAGCAGACACACGCCGCCTCATACAGGCCTTTTGCCTATGCAGAATTACCTATTCTATCCCCTACCTCTATCTTTCACTTACGGAGATCGAGCAACTCAACAGACTCATTCGTAATGCCTATAAAACTGCGCTCCATCTCCCTAAATCAACAGCCACGGATAAACTACTTCAACTTGGGGTGCACAACACTCTGGGAGAGCTTGTAGAGGCGCATCTTTTCAGCCAATATCAAAGACTATCACTCTCAGAAACAGGACAGGTACTCCTGCACCGACTTGGAATCAACGTTTCTGGTCACACCACGGCCACGCACGCAGTTCCCGTCACTGTTAGCAGCAACCTATTAATTCCGCCACTCCCCAAAAATACTCACCCAGAACATAATCGGGCGCGACGGGAAGCCAGAGCCAAGTCCCTTCAGAAGCGCTTCCCTCCTAATTCTCCCGCAGTCTATGTAGACGCGGCCGAATATGTAGATCATCGAGCTTTCGCGGTAGCCGTCGTAGATGGATTTCAAAAACTGGTCGCTAGTGCGTCCCTTCGAAATTCGACAGAATCCCTGGAAGCAGAGGAGGCGGCAATTGCTTTAGCCATTGTTCACTCCTCCGCTGAGTATATTTTTTTTTATTCAAAAACTGCAATTCGTAATTTTGCCACTTTCCGAATTCATTCCCCGGCTGCTAAAATTCTTGAATCATCTCTTCCGCCTGATCGCCTCATCACCCTCCTCTGGGTCCCTGCGCACTGTGGACACCCAGGCAACACGGCCGCTCACACCCAAGCCCGAGCACTCGCCAACCGGGCTCACAGCGACCTGCCTTCGCTTCGAAGTGCCAGGGATCGACTCCTCAGCTATCACGATATCACGCTATTTTACCGAAATTCCCGCCTAACATATCCCCCGCCACATAAATCTCTCTCCAGAAGTGACCAGGCTTTGTGGCGCAGACTTCAAACGGCCACAGTAACGACTCCTTTTCTTCTCTCTTTTTTTACACATGGTGAAACCTCGCCTCATTGCAACTTATGTCCTAGCACCAGAGCCGACTTCCAGCACATATTTATGAATTGTCCAAACAAACCCAAGCCTCCGTGGCAAGGGTCAGAACACCAGGAGCGATGGGAGGCTGCTCTGCGCAGCTCGCAACCGGGTTTACAGCTCCGGACAGTGAGCTGGGCCAGAAGGGTCGCCGAAGCACAGCAGTGTCCGGCCACCTAGAGCGGCCCGAGGGCTCGTCGTCATCCTGATTCCACTTCCCCAACCACACCCCCCCTCAAATGATTCCTTCGTGAATCAATAAAGTTGATTACCTACCTACCTGGCCGCCATGATGTCATTTCCGCCACATTTTTTACGCCCTGCGCCGGCTGGGCATGCCCTCTCCTTACCTTTTTCCTTCCTCCGTGTTTGTAGGCATGCGCTTACCCTCGCCCTGTTTTCAACTTGGCGCCTTCATATGGGGCTGACGCACACAAAATGCGCCGCTCGCGGACTCTATAGTTTTAGATTTGAACGAATGTGCACACGCACACGTATATGCAAGGAAGGTACGACGAACTTGACTTTCATGAAAGCGCCTTTATATATACTGCACCTTTTCAGCTGGTGGGCCAGCCATTGTCAGACTGATTCTGACGAAGGCTAGTCCCCCAACTGAAAACGTTAAGTAAAGACGCCTTCGTGAAAGTTTCATCGTCCCTTCCTTGCATACAATACGTCGGATCCAGCGTGAATGCATGGCATTCAAAGAATTCGATACAGTTGCGTTCGCTCGTCAGCTTCACTTGAGCACCTATAACACAACCGAATAATCCAGTAAGACCTTCGATATATATATATATATATATATATATATATATATATATATATATATGTATATATATATACATATAAGAGAAAGAAGTGTATACCTAAGGGCTCGTTTTTCCGTGTTTTGACACAATATTAATGAGATCTAACAGACAGTAATGCCAAGGAATGTACAGGGGAAGTTATTACAACTAATGGAATGTAAATAAGAAAGAAAAGTGGGTGAAAAGATAACCAATATATATCGAAGGTATCGTCACCATTACCAAACGATAGTAAATACATATACCCGTGCCTAATTATGTGTGATGAGCTTCTCTGGCCACCCACCTTCTCATAGAGATAGATCTTTTTCCCTAGATTCCCCCCCCCCCCTTTTTTTATGCCCCAACTCGGTAATGGTGACCCGACGGCAGGATTTCGCCAGAGGGCTGGAGGAAGACTGAATATTTCTCTCAAAACGTGTCCTGCCTTGGATTAATATTCGTATGTAGCAGCAGGCAAAAAGTGATTTATATGCAGCAACATATCGAAGCAACGATACCATCACTTGCTTAAGACTGCGAGGAGTAACGTAATGTAAGCAAAACTGAGATATAGACTCCGAGCCCTCGGAGCCCGTTTGTGAACCTTATAGAAAGGGAAACTGAACTTTCAACATTGGCATATATTATAGTATACCGGGCTTACCGTGAGAGCGGCATTGAACTGTGCGTGCACATATACGTACATTACCCGTACCGCTTACGGTACGCGCGCTATTTCTCAGTCTGAACGTTAGCGTGTTAGCGATGGTGTACGTAGCATAGGTAAACATAGCAGCGCTTTCGGACGCCCGCTTCGAATGCACTGTAGCTTCGAAGTGACTTTGCGTAGTTGAAATATTCACTTCCTCCGTGGAGTCGGAATTTCGAATGCCACTAGGAGATCGTAAACAAATCGGCAACGTAAATATTTTCGCCTTTGGTACATGGCGCATATTTTTACTTTTTTATTACGAAAATCAACCTAATATTTCTTTGCACGGTGACACAGGCAGACAATATCGTTTTCGTTTACTATTCAACTTAACCGTTTGATAGGTGGCGCCACCATTCGAGCTGAGGCACGTAAACCAGTATATAGGTGCTCTGTGCGTAAACCACGAAGTCGTGACGTAAACACTATCCCGCTACGGTAACGTTATTTCCTTAACCCCGCTATTGCGCTAACGGTAAACTATAACCGTCTATTTTGTGCACGGGCACTATATTAGAGTCAGCGGTGCTCCAAAAACAACTGAATGCCGGACAGGCAGCCTCTCACTGGCTAAGCGCCACCGGAGGAACGCAACCATTGTCTGCGCAGTCTATCAGAACAAGGACGCACGTAACGGAAAAGTTCTGGCGCAAGGCGACGCAAGCGCCGTCGCGGTCAGGGTCTGAATCACCGTACACAAGTGCGTAAGCGCGCTAACTTTGAATGATTGGGCGCGTATTATCGTTTGTGCTGTCTAGTTCCACTTGTCCGTCGTATATCCCTAGTGTAACGTGAGCCACAAGTGGCAAAGTCCGGCTCTGTGCTCAGCGCTGAAATGCAGGTAACTGTAGCAGTTTGGCGCAAAGAAAAGTCAGTCTAGAGACAGACGTGCTACAGCTGGGCCATACGCGCGCAGAGCAAGGCGCTACATTCCGGGACCAGTAGACTACGTAGGCGGATGTGCACAAAAAAAAAAAAAGTGGTGATCATAACGACAGATCATGTGTCCTGTATATGGCTGGAAAAAAACTGATGCATAAAAAACACAACATTTATTAGATGTATAAGGAAATATGGCTAAAACGCAAAAAGGTTAAGTTACGTGTGTATATATATACATATACACACAGGCTACGCATACACAATCCGTGGCATGAGCTGGTAGGCCTCAGGCGCAGATCTTCGCATTTGAGAGTAGTGGTCTTTTCTCATCCTCATCTACTTCATCCTCGTCCTTCCAGTGGTTGTCGACGGCTAGTTTGTAGATCCAAACTCCGATAACTGCGCCAAGGTGCGGGCCGACCACCGGCACCCAAAACCAATTGTACGAGCGGAAGGAAAACACTGCGGAGCCCCAGCCACACATGGCCGTGAAGATCCTCGGGGCAAGGTCACGAGCAGGGTTCAGTGGATTGCCGCAGTTATACGAGAAGGCGTACATGCAGGCGGAGACCGTGAGGCCGACGAGGAGAGGCTGCTGGCCGCGGGACACCGCCATGTTGCGACCATCGGTGATTGCACAGATGCCGAGTAGCAGCACTGCAGTGCTGACAGTTTGATCCAGGAGGCACGTAAGCGTTGACACACCGGGAGCAGGAAAGCAGGAGAACACTGGAGCCGTGGCGTTGGTGCCGTACACAATAGTGAGGTTTACGTCCACCTGCGAAGCATCAGGCCACGGCACAAGAATTATAAGTTGCCGTCACGTGGCTGAGTAACGAGCAAGTATGAGGCAATGATTAGGCAATCGAGGATTAGTGATGGAGACAGTGAACTGGTGCGGAAAAAGAAGAACGAGAGTTTGCTTAGATTCATCAAGGTTCGACAATGAGCGCAGCACAGACAACGGCAATAAAAATATACGCAAACAAAAGAAGGGAGGGGGGCATGACCACAGTGGAATCTTGTAGGGTAGAACCACGCGGAAGCTTAAGATGAACCAAAGAAAAAGGTGCTAAATCTACGAAGGCCGAACAGACGAAGAGAGCGTGGGCAGTAGGGGATGCAAAAGAATCAGCGGCGTGCCTCCCCCTTCAAGCGATTGCTTCCCCCCCCCCGATCTAATCTAAACAAGTGAACTCCCTTCGAGTCTTACGTGCAGTGATGCACCGCAAAACTACGCTTCAGTGCCGTGACGCCCATAAAAAGAATGTTGAGCGCCAAGAAATGACTTATGTAAGATGGGCATAGAATGCGATGAGAAAGGGAAACTAGTGTCCGTGAAAGATCCATTAACGAAACAATGGGCATGAGCGATCAAGTCTAACTTGCCCAGTCTAACATTAAACAAGATTATCGACCGTGGTTGTGCCAACTTATTGGATCACTGGAGTGAAAATGAAGACGTCGAATAAGCTGCTCGAGCTTAGTCAGCTGAGCTCGCTCCCATCTGGATGCTATTGTCACTTGTGAAAGACTTAAGTGTGCCGACTGCAAACTTACCTGGGAAAGTGCGTCGGCGTACACCAGGTAAACGAGACCGGAGGCCAGGAAAGCACCGAGGTACTGTGCGGTGACGTACGCGAGCACGTTGCACCAGCCAAGCTTTCCGATGGTGGCCAAGGCGACCGTGACGGCCGGGTTCAGATGGGCACCGGACACTCCTCCTGCAACCAGCACGCCCAGGAAGACAGCGAGACCCCAGCCCAGGGGTGCGGCAGCGAGGCCCACGGAGCCCAGCTGGAAGACGGCGAGAGAGGCGAGCACGCAGTCGCCGACCAGGGTGAGCACAAGAGTGCCCACCATCTCGGCAAGCGCCTGGCGAGCTAGCGTGCTCTCGATGCAGCATCCGGTCACTTGTCGCCAAGCGCGGGTCACGGTGTTGGGCTTCATGGCTTCTCCTGCTGCTGAATTCCGTGTCCTGCTGACCGCCGCGTGTAGTGAACGCGCAGTGCGTTTGCCACTCGTTTTATATAGCTGTTACACGTGGTCACCGTCATTGCAGGTCACTGCGGATGATTTATTGTCGTATCCTCGATCATATACATGAAGCCATAAGCTGAGCTGCCGAGATGAAAAGCTTTGATAGAAATGACATATGTATCTACTGTAGCCTGAAAACACGTAAGTGCTCATGCGCAGTTTCCTTGCGCGCTATCGCATATGTTAGTGGCCAAGCGAAATCCTGGCAAATCGGCATAGGTAAATGCTTTCTTCATCACGAGAATGGCTTGGTATACACTGGTTTGTATTGTATGTTACTAGCTCTACAGCGCTTTGCCTTGTGTCTTTCTTTCTTTGTCTTCGTCTGTATGCGATGTGAAGTTAATAGTATGAGTGTATCGTATATAGACATTTCTAATATACAGTAACGAACAAATGAGACGCGAACAAAAAACTATGAAGCACAATGTCTTACACAAATCGCAACCTCTCTTTTATGGACCTCCTTGCTGCGCAACTGTTGGAGGTGGAGAATAATGTAATTGTCAGTGTAGCTGCAACGTGTCTGAAAAATAATTAAAGGGACACTAAAGAGAATAACAGTTTAGTAAATTACTTTTGAACAATTTGGAAATCACCACGCCCGCCGGGAGAAGACGTTCGGAAAGCGGAAAAAAAAACAAAAACGCGCAAATAGGAAATGTGTGGGGCGACGCCACCTCGAAATACCCTCACCAAATGCCGTAACGTCATAGATTTTGACATCGTCTACTGCGTCCTACGTGGCTCCTAATCGGCACAAATGGAGTACATTGACCCTTGAGAGGGTCATATACCAAGTTTTAGGAAATGTCGTCGCCAAAATGCGAATTCACTATAAAATTTATGACGTCATGCACGTATACATCAGCGCTGCACTTCAAAATGAACCTTGGACCTCAATTTGCTCCGCTATCATCAACTGATGAAACTATAAATTAACGAAATTACCATTCTTGCAGTGCAACGTGTCAATATAAACCAATTTAAAGTTTTCTTTGCAACTTTTTTACAGTAATTTGCAACTTTGCGTCTGGTAATGCCGAAATTCAATCATAAGTGCTCCAAAGTATCGTATAACTAATGCTAGTGTCATTCATTCAGGGCGATTTTTAAGCAAATTCGATGAACTAACTAAGCATACGGCATTAGCGCATGCCCAGGCTGAAAAAGTTGCTTGTTTGGACGCATTTGATACACGTCTCGCTGAACTTGAAGATCGATCACGTCATAATAATTTAGTATTCCGAGGTATTCCTGACAGGAAAGAATCATGGCAAGCAACTGAAACCAAGCTAATTGATTGATATGTGGGGTTTAACGTCCGAAAACCACCATATGATTATGAGAGATGCCGTAGTGGAGGGCTCCGGAAATTTCGACCACCTGGGGTTTTTTAACGTGCACCCAAATCTGAGCACACGGGCCTACAATCTTTCCGCCTCCATCGGAAATGCAGCCGCCACAGCTGGAATTTGATCACGCGACCTGCGGGTCAGCAGCCGAGTACCTTAGCCACTAGACCACCGAGGCGGGGCAACTGAAACCAAGCTAATGACAGCAATAAAATCAGTTTGCGATTGATTTTTCGATGGTGCATGGACGCACACATTGCCGCAGTTTCTCCAGTTCTAACAAGTACCACCCCATCATAGCAAAATTTTCGCACTTCAAAACAAGGAAAATAATAATTGCTCAGAGAAACCAATTTAAAGAACAAAATCTTTCAGTTGGTTAATATTTTTATTACCCACCCACACCACTCGCAAAAAAAAGAACTATTTGAATTCAGTAACACCGAACCTGGCTCTTCCAACTTCAAGCTCCGTTACAATAAATTGTTTTTGAGCAATAAATCGTATATGTGCACGACGCTATTAGTGATTCTGTCCTTGAACTCATTCATAATACATGTAACAGGTACTGGACTAAATCATACGAATGCACGACGTCGATACAATAGAAAAACGAAGAAACACAATTATAAAACGCCTCATTCAGCCTCATTTAATACCTAACAATTCTTTTTACAAATATAAGCAGTCTAGATAGATATGTGGGGTTTTACGTCTCGACACCACTATACGATTATGAGAGACGCCGTAGTGGAAGGCTCCAGAAATTTCAACCACCTGGGGTACTTTAACGTGCACCCAAATCTGAGCACACGGGCCTACAACATTTCCGCCTTCATCGAAAATGCAGCCGCCGCTGCCGGGATTCGATCCCGTGACCTGCGGGTCAGCAGCCGAGTACCTTAGCCACTAGAGCACCGCGGCGGGGCATACAAAAAGTCTGCAGGTCCATAAATTCCTCTCGTTGTCATCAGCCATCGACACGTGCGACGCGAAAATTATCGCCCTTTGCGGAAACTTGGCTTCCTGCACATGTGCGTGATTGCAATATTTTTTATGGCTCTATAACTTCGCTATCTGCAGGTGTTTCCGCACTGAGCGTTGAGGATGGGGCGTTGTTCTCGCCACTTCGAAAGATATTCCGTCCTTTGATATAGACATTAAAACGCATCTTCAAAGCGTATGAACCTACCTAACACTCAGTCACACATGCATGGATAATCCTTGTTATCTGCTATCGCTCGCCTTCATCATCTGCCACTTTCATTGACAATTTACGTGATGCTATTAACCTCGTTTCTTCATGATTTCTGCCATCGCCTTTGATCTTTTCTTATTTGGCGACCTTAATTTGCCCAACTTCCTTTAGGACACACATCTACCCGGTATAAAAGCATTTTCAACTCAGGCAAAAAAAAATGTGGTGAACATTGTTCCGTGTTTTTACTTTCCCAACTTGTATACCCAGCGCCCCCGAATTACTTCCAACACTGCGAGAATGTTTGACTTAGTTCAAACTAATTGTGCAGATCTAGTTTCCCCCATACGTTTTCTATACAAAATTTGCGGTCATTTTTTCATAAGCCTCACAATTAACGCAATCCGTCTTCAACAAACTAAGGTTAATGAAGTTATTCGTTATTATAAAAAGGCTAACATTGAGGACATTACAATAAATTAGGCTTATTTCTCGACAGTTCTTTACTAGCTCTTATACTCATTCAATTGAGAATAACTGGGAGATTTTCGTGGACGAGATACGTCTGTTTACAGAAAAATATATTCCCAATCGTGTCATGATTTCTAATAAACAAGCCCCTTTATATATCCATAGTCCTTCAATGGTATAACTCATACATTAAGCGAATGTATAACAGATAGAAATATGGCTCTATCACTCAGCTGAATCTTCTAATAAGACGTGTTCGGAATCCTATAATAATGCTAATCGTGCAATTTTATTTCCACTGAAAAAAAGCTAAAGATTATTACTTATTCCACACACTACCCGAAACGAATGATCATAACAAATCTGGCGTGAACCCCCTCTTGCGATAGCACTATCATCCTGCCATATAAGGTGACGTATCCCATGTGACGCATTCGCGATCGATCTTAATCACACATCTTCTAAGAATTCTTTTGGTTTAGAGCAATATTCACCTACTGGACACCAATTCATGCGGCGATCTTATAATAGATCCTGTAACAGTTCAATCATCTGGCATTGCTGGACTCATTAATAAGTTACCATTTAACTCAGCTCCGGGTTTCGATGTCCCCTTTTTTTGGGAGTAATAAAGTTTTGATCATCATCATCATCGATGGCGTTAGCAGCAAATTAAAAAAAAAACACTGGCGTTTTCAGATTTATCAAGTTGACCGAAATTATTCAGCAATGGAAAGTGGAGAAGGTGGTTCTCCTATACTACATACGTCCGGCAGCTGCTAGAACTCGCACATAAATTACCGTCTGCTCTCGCTACGCAGTACGGGTCGCAAACTTCTGGAACACGTAATTTTTACAACCTTGGTTAACTTTCTCGATTCTAACTCATTTTTCACCACAGCTCAGCATGTTTTTTGTAAAACATACTTAGGCGAAAAGCAGCAAGTATCATTTACTGATGGACTTCACAGTATTTCAGATCGCATGTCATTTGCTAACTGTGTTTTAAGATTTTAGTACAGCATTTGACAAGGTTGGCAATCATCTATTTCTTTTCAAACTAAGTCTTTTAAACCTCTACAGTAACATACTGAAATGGATTGAATACTTTATTTGTAGCCGCTATCAGTCTGTTGCTGCTAATAATCATACCTCACTTTTAACTGAGGTTCGTTCTGGTGTGCATCGGAAATCAGGGACCACTCATTTTGCTAATCCATCATCATCATCATCATCATCATCATCAGCCTGACTACGTCCACTGCAGGACAAAGGCCTCACATGTTCCGCCAGTTAACCCGGTCCTGTGCTTGCTGCTGCCAATTTATACCCGCAAACTTCTTAATCTCATCTGCCCACCTAACCTTCTGTCTCCCCCTAACCCGCTTTCCTTCTCTGGGAATCCAGTTAGTTACCCTTAATGACCAGCGGTTATCCTGTCTACGCGCTACTTGCCCGGCCCATGTCCATTTCCTCTTCTTTATTTCAACTATGATATCCTTAACCCCCGTTTGTCCCCTAATCCACTCCGCTCTCTTCTTGTCTCTTAAGGTTACACCTACCATTTTTCTTTCCACTGCTCGCTGCATCGTCCTCAATTAAAGCTGAACCCTCTTTGTGAGTCTCTAGGTTTCTGCTCCGTAGCCAAGTACCGGCAAGATACAGCTGTTATATACCTTTCTCTTGAGGGATAGTGGCAATCTACCTGTCATAATTTGAGAGTGTTTGCCGAATGTGCTCCACCCCATTCTTATTCTTCTGGTTACTTCAATCTCGTGGTTAGGCTCTGCGGTTATTACCTGCCCTAAGTAGACATAGTCTTTTACAACTTCAAGTGCACTATTACCTATCTCGAAGCCCTGCTCCTTTCCGAGGTTGTTGTACATTACTTTCGTTTTCTGCAGATTAATTTTAAGACCCACCTTTCTGCTCTCCTTGTGTAACTC